CATCCATCCATCCATCCATCCATCCATCCATCCATCCATCCATCCATCCATCCATCCATCCATCCATCCATCCATCCATCCATCCATCAGCTCAGAGACACAGTCCCTCCATCATGTTCTGGGCCTTACTGTATGAGGCCTCCTCTCAATAGGACATGCCTGGAACACCTATTGAGCGAGGCAACCAGGAGGCATCGGGAATAAATGCCCAAGCCATCTCAGCTGGCTCCTTTCTCTGGGTGAGATTTTACTCGAAAACAGGCTGAGACTAAATACAAAGTTTACTGTTTAAATCCCCAAAATCTGTGACTTAAAGCACTGGGTGGTTATTTTTTGCCTCAGTTCAAACATTTTGCAATTCTCTTTTCTTAGTTTATGCTCTGCCAACTTGGTCCCACTTTTCTCTATGGTACATGACATTTCAAGTCACAATTGAATAACTTAGAATTGTTATAAATGTAGCTGGTCTGTTATGGTGTTTTCTGTTTTGATGTGTTCTTCTTTATTTACTAGAGAGGCCCAGTAATCCAACCATCCCTATAATTTCTGCTGTGATTGCTTCTGTTCTTGTATCCATTGCTGGTGCTGCTGGATATGTGGTCTATAAAAAGAATACAAGTAAGCAACTTGTCTCTGATAAGGTACTTTCATTAATTTCCTAAATATATGAAGGTATTAGTACAAAGATGAAAACCTTGTTTAAACTGATTTTATGTTAGAGATCAGAGGACAGGAATGATAAGAAGGGGGAATTTTTTTTTATTTATTTTTTTTGTTTACTCATATAGATAATGCTTTTTGATAAACTAAAGATTATCATATTTGAGCCTTTGTTAAATTTTACATAAATTCTTACCATTTGTTTTACAGACAGACATCAACCAGTGCCATCATCGCGTAAGAAAACTCACAACATGTTTTTAACTCTCAGCTAATTGTTTGTTACCTACATTTAAGAGTGGTGAGAATTGTGTTGCAGTGATTTAGTGAAATGATTTCTGGTAATGCGTGTTTTGCATGTAGTAGACAGCTTTCATATTGCTGTCCTGTTTTAAAAGCTCAGAAAGGTGTAAGATTTACAGCTGATCATGCAGACACCTTTTAGCTATTTTTAGCCATTTTGTTCATTCACAGCAGTTCAGCTGATATTTCTATCCAGGATGGTGTCACAGCTAAACAGGAACAGACTGAATGAAGTAACAATGATGAGAAAAATAGAGAAGATAAAGTTAGGGGTTGAAATAAACAAATAGAAATAGAATTGTGAAAATTGGCCACCACTTCCTCCAGCAGTCCCCCAAACATGGGGTTACCGTCACCGGGTCGGGTTCAGCTGCTCCATCCCCCGCTGGCTCCCTGCCCCTGTCCGACGGGGTTCCCATACCAGCCCTGGAGCTCACGGCTTGGTTCTGCTACACTGTAGCCAACCAAAATTCCGGACGATTTTTAAATTCTCCCCGGAAATTTTTTTAGGTTTTTAAGAAAAGGAGGATGTCTGGTCACCCTACCATATCAACAATTTGATGTTTCAGTAAGTGAGGGCATGTTGCTATGATGCGTCTTTGCTCAGCAGCTTTGCTCATTGTAAACCATCTAATCAGCGCAGAGCTCATCTAAATAATAATGAGAATACCATAAAAGGAAGAAAAACCTGTCATTTCACTCTGAGGCTCTTAACCAGGCTTACATTAGGGCTCATAGAACAGCTAGTATGCCATTTTCAGCCCAACCAATGTTACCCAATCTGTAATTTCCACTCTTTCATTTTGGTTTTCCATAGGAATGTAAACCTATTTATGATATTTTAAAGGCTTTTATTCAGTATGATGCTAATAAAATCTGGCAAACAATAGATGATTTGATACTTACACTTTTCATGGAATTTCCAAACTGATAGCTTTGATATGTTATTTTGTATGTTATTTTCACCACAAATTTCAAGATATTCCTTTCGGTTAAAAAAGTTCAACTGAAAATGTTTAGATGTACAAGATGTAGCAATTGATATTAAAATATATTGTGCATCTTACATCTATTGCTAAGTTTATCTGCTAATACCGTCACTTAATACCTTCACTGTTGTCATTGATCTCAGGCTTGTTCTGCTCTCTATTTACTGTGACTCTTTCTGACCTTTCAGCTCCTGAGGGAAACTTTGTACTCAGCGACCAACTGAATCCAGAGACCTGATCAACTGATATGTCATTAAATTTGTATAGAAAAATATTTTCATTTAAAAATGCCGCTTCTTATTGTTTAAACTTCTTTTTTACAAGTAAATTGCATGAGGCTAACACTACTACTATCCTGATGAATTAAAACCAAGTTTGTTTATTTGCTAAAAATCTGTTAATACTTTAGACAGACTAATTCTGGTGACTGTTTACTATTAAAGCAGGAGGAACTATTCACATGAAGGTGATTATTAAAGATTTTATTAAATTTGAAAATAACTGTCAAGTCTTTTGATGTAGGATTTTCATTTTACAGCAAGTTCCTGGTGTGGTTGGATATGTATAGATATACTGTCAGCCAAGGGTGAAAGCAATGTATTTGTTTGTTTGCAGTGTTGGGCATGTTACTTTGAAAAAGTAATTAGTTATAGTTACTAGTTTCTTCTCCCAAAAAGAGTTACTAACTGAGTCACTCCACAATAAAAGTAACTAGTTACTAGTAAAAGTAACTATTGTGTTACTTTTGCGTTTCTCCCCCCTGAAACCCTCTACCACCCAGCCCCCACCTTCTCACTGTGTTTTTCCAAAGCCAGCTGAATAGAGTGGACGACAAAGACAAGAACCTGCAGAGAGTTTTGCATTTATTGCAACTCAACGTAAATGACATCGGATGGGCATGCACTTTTCAAAAATATTTTTAAAAAAGAGAAATACAGTACACTTTCTCAACCTCATTGGATTATCAATATCACACCATCATAGGATAGGCCCAAAGAGAGGTGATAAACACAAACATGTCTGTAGAGGTGTTTTGTTTTTCCTTTTACAGTTGCACAATTCAAGTTTTCAGTTTTCAAGTTCATGTTTGCTGACAGATATTTAATGAGGATAAATTGTGCCTTCATTAGTAGTGGATTAGAGATACTGTATTCAGTTAAGTTCGCAAGTGGGCCAATTTAATTCAGTTTGGTTCAGGTAGATATTTAGTAATGCAGAATGTGATTTATGAAGCTTTAAAATAAAAAAAAAGTGCCATAAAATATTTGCTCCCGTGCTTGCATTAATTATCTGTGCCCATGCTTTTTTTAAATAAATAATTGCCCCAAAAAATTTTTGTTCACCTACTTTGCATGCTTGCATTTTATTTCTTGCCCTATTGTGCCCATAGTATTGGGTCTGCTGACGCCCCCGCTCTCACACACACCACCTCACACACACACACTGAGTACGATATCTAATACAATATACACAATTATACACATTATAATTATACACATCTATGCAATTATACACAATATACACATTTAAAAAAAGCCCACTCTTCAGCTCAAGGGTTTTCATCATCAAGGTCTCCAGGGTAGGTAGCAGTGTGCCGAAGTAGCAGTTGTCCTCTCTCTGGAGGATATCTACAGTAGGGCGACTGTCAGTGGCTTCATTGCAATGCAATATTCCTTAAGGAGCTGATGCTCTTTTTCTGTGATTGCTTTCGAGCCAAACTTGAATGAGATGGTGTTTAGGTCCACTATGGGAGTCTCACAAATCCTAGCTAGAGCATCATAGAAAGAATTCCATCTGGTACTGCATGGCACTATTAGCTTCTTTGCAACCACAACTAAATTGTCTACAATCTAAGCAAAGTTAAGAATGTAGATGATTTTGCTGCAATACAACCCAGAACTGTTAACATTTGATTTTAAAGGCATCTCTTGCTTATCTTTTCAGTATAAAGATTGGCCACCATTCAGAGAACAATTTCAACGTTGCTCTCCCAATGATCTTCGGTACTATATGTATAAACAGAGTTTCTCAAACATGCACCTGACAGATCTCTGTATGACTGAGCTAAAGACACAGATGAGACACAGAGGAGAAAATGCAAAGTTGTCACCATTCTATCACTGGCAGCAGGAAACGGGATGAGTGGGGACACTTAACTGCCCCCAAAGAAAAATAGCTATACCTCCCTGATTTCCCCCTATTTTGTCAATTAATTTAGCTGGGCAGGCTGAGTCAACCTGGCCCTGGAGAAGTGCAGAAAAAATGCATATCCATGAAACTGTGGTTTTTATATGTGCAGTTTGATTGGCCAGTTTATTGGAGCTTGATTGGTCAAGCTCTGTGCAAGCAAAGGGGAAGACAGAGAAAACAAAACTCTTTGTTTATTTGCCCCGCCATGCCTGACAGTAAATCACTAGAAAAAGAAGCTTGAAAGCAGGATAGGGCTACATGACCTATTTATAAGCAGTGATGAAGCCAGAGAGGGAAACCTACTGGTTGTTTGCACAGTAAATCTTAGAAGCAGTGTAAAACCTTAACTGATATCAATTTAGCAGGTAATAGGATAAGGTTTACTATAGATATACTTTATTTATCCCAAGCTGGGAAATTGCAGCTATAACAACTATCTCCAGGTCATTATGAGCAAAAAAACCACAGAGGGACTTTCATCTGAGCTAAAACCAAAACCACTTAAAGTAGCTAAACACAGTAAAATATAACTTAGATCACCACATTGTTTCTCGTGTCTGCAGCCAGTCCAATTCTACATGTTGACAGTATAAAATAAGTTTGTAATTATTTGGGGACATATAACACATTTGCTGTTGCCAGTTAGTCTTTTCTTCTACATTTTCTTTGCTGATACAGCTTTGTGTTGTTAAAAGATGTCAGGTTTAATCAATGATGATTATAAAATTGTGTGCTTATGAAACATTTTTGCAGTCAGGAGACCATCCTGCCTGCTGCATTGTGTCTTGTGATGCAGTGAGGAGACCATCTTGCCTTGTCATTCTCATGGAGCATCTTGTCTTTATGAACTGATCAATTGTTGTGTCAGANTATTCATTTTAGAATGGTATTAGTGAGAAATTTCTTAGGCGGAGAGGCCATTTTGGCACATTTATCCATAAATGTCACCAAACTGTGCCAAATATGTTTTTTACATCAATACTGGGGGTTTGGTAAAATTACGAGGTCACGTAGCAGCTGGACCCGCCGGTGGGTCCGTAGGGTTCAAGGGGATTTATAGGATGTAACCGCCCAAGATATGTGTTGCTTTATATAGAGTTAAGCCCAAAATGATTCATACTCTGATTATTTCCATAATTTGAATAATAAATTTAACTAAGAGGCTTTTTCCTAATATTTAATGAGTCGGGCAAAGGAAATGTAACAATTTGGTTATTTTCTATTAAATTGAATATAAGAAAATATTGCTATCCTTTTTATTAATCAGTGGTTACATCATTAATGGTGATGCAGCCATTAATTCCCCCTTTTTATAAGCTATCTGCAGGGAGGTCTACAGCGGATCTAGAAAAGCTGTTCACTGAAGACACCCTGTTGATGTTTAACAATCGGATGAATAGATTTAAGTCAGGATCGGCCTAACTTCTCCAAAATGTTCTTAGTACTTACCAACTGAAGAAACAGAATGCTGTAATCCTGGATCCGCCAGGATTTGGGAGTTTACTGTAATATCTGTATGCATGCTGTTAATGTTAAACTTAATTGTTATAGGTTTGTACATTTTTCTTTCTTTTTTTCATTCATTCAAAGTAGCTATACATTTTTTTGTGTGTGTGTATTTTAAGCTAAAGTTTTTTGAATTTGAGTTTTGGGTATGAGAACACACATGATGATACTTTATGTTTTCTAAGTGTTGTTTTTGCAGAGTGTCTCTAATCTTTCAGAAGTAATGAAGCCTGTAATGTTGCATATTGCTGTTTGCACTGAACCATCAACTCCTTCTAAAATAAGCCAATAGTTATATTTTCAGAAGGGAAGTTTTACATTTGATTTTACTTTTAAAGTGATGTATTTGCAATTTTTTTCCCCACTGACTTTTTGTCTCTTAACAGACCTAACTATATTGTTTCTAACTTGGCTGTTGTGTTGAGGCGTTATGATCATTTTGACCACTGCTGGTCCTGTATTATTTTTGGATCAGGTCTGTTATTCTGTTTAGTTCATACTGTTGCTCAGGTTATTTTCTGTATGTTTGTGTTTTTATAAGCTGAAGATGTATTTTTTCCAAAAATTATATTGTTGATCAAATAAAGAAACCCTGTTATTAAAAAAAAAAAATCCCTTGCAGTTTTTTTTTCCTGGAAATAATAAAATTATCTTTTAAAATATGATAAAACAGTCAGACTGTACAAATGTTGGACCTCTCTACATATTCCTAACGTTTTTCTTTTCTGTGAGCGGGTTACAGAAGCAGCAGTCTCAGCATAGACACCCAGACTTCCATCTCCCCTGAAACCTCCAGCAGCTCTTCTGGAAGAAGCCTGAGGTGCTCCCAGGCCAACACATATATAATCTCACTCCTGTTCTTAACTGTTAAAGATAGACTCTGGTTCTACACCTTGAAGCTCTATCTTTCCGGTTCTTTTTCCTGAAAAGAGATCACTCGGTACAAACTCTTCAAATCTCTTCAAATAACACTTCATAACTTATATGTATTAAATAACCAGGAGACATGATGTCAGGTTTATTCAGTGATGATTATAAATTAAATTTTGCTTATGAAACATTTTTGCAAGGGGATGCCCCACTCCTGTCTAATGATTCAGTCAGGAGACCATCCTGCCTTGTCATTCTGATGGAGCATCCTGTCTTCATGAACTGATCAATTGTTCTGTCAGAACAATACTCTGTTTGTAACCATGTGTCATGTTCTGTTAATAAACACTCTGCAGAGGAGGTCCAGTGGGAGAGAGTGTGTTTGCGTCTGGGGTTCAACTGTCTCTCCTTTCTGCAGAAATTGTATCCAGAAATTGTGTATTTCAGTTCTTCTTAAGAAAAAACCTACATTTTATGAACCCGACATTTTGGTGCTAAAACCCGAGAGTCAAGATTCAATTGTCCAGGACCGTGTGGGACCAAGGCCAAGAATCTGTCGACAGCTATCCTCCCTTCGCCGGACGGGGCCAGTTTGGTCCAACCCTGCACTGGGCATCTTGGTGACGACTCCAGAGAAACTGATTCTACACGACAAAGGGAAGGTCTGAAGCTTTTGATCAAAAGTTGGTCTAGGACCATTTAAGTTACAGCTGTAATCGCAAGAATATTTGACAAGACCAAGTCTTGTTTACGGATATGGCATCTGGGTATTCTATGCGTTAGAGTATGGGACTCTGGGTTGTTCTCGAGATAGTAAGGTTTGCAGCTGCCGCAGCAGGGATATTTGACAGATATGGCATCTGGGTATCCAGTGCGTGCAAGGACCTGGAGTTGGAGACTCCAAAGTGTACACATAACGATAGGTGTTTTTTGTCTATGTTGGTTAAAATAAAAAACATATAATATGCCTCAAAATAGGTGTGACTGTGTGAGAGTGTGTGAGGACACAATCAAGGATCCAACAAAAAATAAACACTTGAATATATGGGTTTAAAAAAAATATGGGTTTGAGGGACGCCTCTATTCCAAGATAAAATAATAAGAACTAAATCATGAAATAACT